GGGCCACTATCATTACTCTCCACCCGAATATTGTGACACTTCTGCGTAAAATAATTTTTGTTATTTTTTACTTTCAAACTTCCAAATATTGATGAGAACGACTAATAAGGGAGTACAAAAGAACAGGCAAGTAAGACATACGCAGTCCGTATATTAGCATCTGCAATCATTTATATAACTTCAGCGAGTAGATTTCATGGGATGGAAAAACAAGTTTCATTGCTAGGCGTTTTGATGCAGGCAATGGAAGCAGAATTTCTTCATCTACTGAGCAGTTCATCTTGCGCGGTGTTGGCTTTACTATCCTACTATATATAATTCGCCAAGTATTCTGTGTGTGTGCGTCCATCTCTTTGTCACGAAATTCATAGCGCCGGTCCCAGTAGCAGTGAGACATTAATCTCAAGATATGATATATGGTATGGGCCAAGAACATCATTAGTGGGTCACAAAAACTGTAAGCTGTTGATGAGATTCGATAAGGGGCGTTAGAAGGGGGAAAGAAAGGGGCACTAGAAAGATGAAATCATCATATTCACAGCGCAGGTCACAGCATGAGCGAGACATACCTTTCAGCAAGTGATATAGGGGGGTGAGATGGGGACATCAACCGTGGGTGACTGGAAGCGATACTACTGATAGGGGCTGATAAAAAACGTTGCAGTCATCGTCGCCGTTCAAGGTGGTTCACGCTACCGAATGATAGAGATTTAGGGATGAGGACATTGACGACGGGTGACAGGTAATCTTCTTAATCGACAAAAACAGATTAGATACCGTCTGCGCAATATTTTTATCACTTCTTACCGCTTTAATGCGAGTAATTACAGGGAGGTCGTTCAGGACGTGGAGCGCTTTTTGGAAACGGTTTTTTGCATGATGTAGGGTCACGTGCATGGAGTAACAAACTAGCGTTCATTTTTCCTGCGCGCCGCTGGAAATACCAAAGAAGGAGTGAAAAAGATCTATGGAATCGGTGGTTTGTGAGCCTTTGTGAGCTCTAAATCAAATGCAACTTCGACCAGTTGCTGAGTGGAGGGTCCATATAAAGGTACTATAGAATGGAGGACGAAAATAGTCGCGAATGGGGTCTTACTTGGGGCACGTGATTGAGAATGAGCGGCTCTGAGCGGCTTTTCGGAGTGGTTTCTTCAACGATCAGAGTGGTGTTCAGCTACAGCGATCGGATGGCCTAGTGGATAGCGTGGAGGCTTCTCAATCAGGCAGTGAGGTAGAGGTTGATGGTTCGACTCCCCTTGGCTCGCGAGTTTTTGCATTTTTTATGTTCCACTGTTGTCGCTTCCATATATGTCTGTTTATGGATTTTACTCGGATTTCTATCATTTATAGGCACATCCTAAATACTTATACCACGTTAGTCGGTGCTATTGAACAATTTTGATTTTCACATACCATTACGCAATAACATTCCTGAAAGATGATCTTTATATGCTGTTCGGTGCTCTGATCACGACTATGACATCTACTTTCGGCTTCGGTGCCATTTATCTCCAATTTGGAGCAACATCTTTCTCCCACTGACTCGTTTTGTACACTCATTTGAAGGAATTTCAGGACTATTCTGACATCAGATTGCGTCGTCGCTAAAAATAAAGGTCAGAATCGTGATCAGGACCATCAATTACCCCTATAGGCAAACTTTCAGCCAGAATTTTTTTGATTTTCTTGAGTTGTGATAGACCATTGGTGGGCAATGGTGAACGGGTTCCCACACCTTCAAAGCGGCGATGACGTAACGATGACGTGGCGAGCCGCCTGACGGTCGTATCGCGGATTCGGTGGGCATGAGGTTCTGTCATGCTTGGCATAGACCTGGGTGGCCGCAGAATGCGTGAGAATCCATCATGGACGTTTATCGACCAAAAGCGACTGCTCGCTCAACAAAGATGTCGTCCTTCCCTACCACGAGAAGAGACTCATTCAATTTCCTCCACTTTTTCGAATGCACCTGGAGGAACGACTACCGTTTTGTTCTTTTTTATCAATGACGTTTATCGTTGCTGATAGTTTTATGTTTCTGTACCACTAAATGGGGGGTTCGGTAACCTGGAAAAGTACGACTTCAACAGAATGACTCTTGAGCATAACCCAATCTGCCTATAGGGGTAATCAATGGTCCCGATTACGATTCTGACCTTAATTTTTGGCGAAAAGGCAATTTGTTGTCAGAATAGTCTTAAAATTCCCTCAAATGAGTTGGAAAACGAGTTCAGTGAGAGAAAGATGTGGCTCCAAATTGGCGATAAATGGCACCGAAGCCGAAAGTAGATGTCACAGTCGTGATCAGGGCACCGAACAGCATATAAAGATCACTTTTCAGAAAAGTTATTGCGTAATGGTATGTGAAAATCAAAATTGTTCAATAAAAAAAAGGATAAAGTCTTCGCCGTTGATCAATCCCTTTGTGGGATGCGGCACGCATTCTACTTCCATTCAGAATCGTAGTGGGTTATTGAATGCGATGTGGCCTATACAATGACTTGCGGTGGCCAGCCGATGTACAGTCAGTGTTTTATCCTCCCAGACGAATCTGGTACCAATTCACCGTCCCCGAAGGG